GGCGCGGAACAATCTCAGTGCACCCGGTTGTGACTAGGGTTTAGGGTTTAGGGTTTAGGGTTGAGGGTTTAGGGTTTAGGGTTTAGTGCTAAGGATTGTTAGTATAAGGGGGAACATCCCAAGTGATGTGCTGTCAAGGCTCGAAATTTCAATGCCTTTGAATACTGATTTGCTGGCGGTGCAGACCCTCATGCGTCTGGGTTTCCGAAATTAAGGGTACCTTATTGGGATCCTTTTTAGGGCCTCCTATTATAATTAAGGAGGTACCTTATTGGGGTCCTTAATTTTAGGGTTTCCTATTATCGTAAAATCCCACTTTAAGGATCACGCATTCCCGGCTCCGCAGGTGCTGCAGTCGCGCATCAACGAGTTGCGTGAGCGGCCTATACTCCCCGTTCTTGTGATTGACTCCATGTTTCTTGGCAGTCTTAGGGTTTCGGGTTTAGGGTTTAGGGTTTTGGGGTTTAGGGTTTTGGGTTTTGGGTTTAGGGAGTCGGCATGGTGACGAGCTATTGTAGACGTAGCCAGATGCTATACATCACTTTCCCGATGCGAGATGTGACATTCGGTTTCTTGCAACCTCGCAGTACTTGGTTGTGTCTTCCTTAAATCATGTAGAACGGAGGCTACCCGGACAACGTCTGGTGTTCAACTCTCCCAACAAGGAGCCGCCGTGTTGGTACAATGACTGCAAGAGGAGCTCCAATACTCCTTGGTTTAGGAATATTCCTTAAACCATATAAAGGACCCCTAGTATAACTTATGGAATATTCCCCTAACCCTAACCCTAAACCCTAAACCCTAAACCTTAAACCCTAAACCCTAAACCCTAAACTCTAAACCCTAAACCCTAAACCCTAAACCGTAAAACCTAAACCGAGTCCCTGGGGACTGCAAGAGGAGCTCCAGGCACTCGTTCAGGAAGAGGAGGACATCGGCGTGATAGGCTCGGCAGGGAGTTGGTTAGGGTTTAGGGTTTAGGGTTTAGGGTTTAGGGTTTAGGGTTTAGGGTTTAGGGTTTAGGGTTTAGGGTTTAGGGTTTAGGGTTTAGGGTTTTAGTGTTTAGGGTTTAGGGTTTAGGGTTTTAGGGTTTAGGGTTTTCGGGTTTCGGGTTTCGGGTTTCGGGTTTCGGGTTTCGGGTTTCGGGTTTCGGGTTTCGGGTTTCGGGTTTCGGGTTTCGGGTTTCGGGTTTCGGGTTTCGGGTTTCGGGTTTGAGGCTTAGGGTTTCGGGTTTAGGGCATAGGGTTTAGGGACCTAAACCCTAAACCCTAAACCCCAAACCCCAAACCCGCACTGGCAAGGCAAATGAAAACAATGATACGAGGAGCACGATCCAAGGCTGAAAGGCGACGGGAGTGCTGCAACTCAGGAGCGTGTGAGCGGGAGGCAGGGGCGCCGTTTGGACACCATGAAGTGAGTTGCAGTACAAGCGCCCGAGCGTCAGGAAAGCAGGCCCCTGTCGCCTCTTCGCGCGCCATTGAACGGATGACGCCAAGACCCCCCCCCCCGCCGACATGACATCCGTGCGCAAGCAGTGCCTAGACGCGCGCCGTGCCAAGGTGAGAGGCCGCGTGCGCACCTCAGCCTGTACCCCTAAACTCTAAACTCTAAACCCTGCACCCTAAACCCTAAACCCTAAACCCTAAACCCCTTCTTCTGACCCCGTATTGGAATGAGGGTAGGTGTTTTTACGTCCCAAATAAGGCTATCAACAGCTTTTGCCCTAGGAAGATAGGATACTACTGTATTGCGGTTCCTAAACCGACCAAAATCCTGACCCCCATAAGTGCCCCTACCTCATACTACCCCCAAGGTTCCCCCCCCATATTTAGGGCTATCAAAGGGACAATTAACCCAAAATTAAGGCTATTGAAAGGAGGGGGGTAGTAGAGAAACCCATGAGGACCTGCTGTTGGGGTTTAGGGTTTAGGGTTTGGGGTTTAGGGTTTAGGGTTTAGGGTTTGGGGTTTAGGGGCGCAGGAATGGTCCGGTCCCGCTTTGGGACGTCGCCAGCCCGTCACGGGGTCTCGGCAACGTTGAAGCTCGGCAGCACCTTGCCCGGAGACGCCAGTCCCCATGACGATGTAGCCCTAAAGCCTAAAGCCTAAAGCCTAAACCCTAAACCCTAAACCCTAAACCCTAAACCCTAAACCCTAAACCCTAAACCCCTAAGCCCTAAGCCCTAAGCCCTAAGCCCTAAGCCCTAAGCCCTAAGCCCTAAACCCTAAACCCTAAACCCTAAGCCCTAAGCCCTAAACCCTAGCCCTAAACCCTAAACCCTAATCTCTATACTCCGAGGGATAATGATAATGGAGTCAAGGACATCTTGAGTACAAGCACAAGATTGCAAGATGTGCCTCGGAGAAGAGCAACCGAGGAAGCAGGTCAACTTCAACCAGTGGGACCTTTGTCTGAAGATGGTTCAGGGTTCAGGGTTTAGGGTTTAGGGTTTAGGGTTTAGGGTTCTGGGTTTAGGGTTTAGGGTTTAGGGTTTAGGGTT